CTTTGTGTGGAGGATGCAGGTAAGGCCTGGGCACGATGTGACACTGCAGGGCCACTGCAGTTTGGGACCCCCCCAAAGCACCAGACAGCATCCACGAGCACCTCAGTGACATCCTGGTGACATTCCGGTGACATCCCACCTCTGGATGCCTCTCGGGCATTGGAAGGAGCTGCCCAGGGAGGTTTGGAGTCCCCACCCCTGGAGGTGGCACTCAGGGCTCTGGGGACAAGGTGGGGATCAGGCACAGCTTGGACTCGGTGACCTTGGAGAGCTTTTCCAGCCTCAGGGATTCCTTGATTCTGTTTGTCACTTGCCTTTAAAAGCAAAGTTGTGCTGGTGGGATTTTCTTGGGTAAATCTGCTTTCAAAGCTGGATTGGACACTGACAGAAGGGCTCCCCCAAACTCTTCCCGAGGGTGCCCAGATCCTGGAATGCGTCGAGGTTTTGCCCCGAGATAAGAAGGCTGTAGTTGGCTGTGAGTGGTTTATAAATTCAGCAGCCCTTGTTTTGCACTAATCCCCAAACTGGATTTTTGTGGGGTATTTCTCCCGTGCTCGGAGTTGTTCTAACATGGAGCAAGTTCCTGCAGTGGTGGAATTACTGCTCAAAGTGCCAGGGGCATTATTTCCACAGGCTGGAGCTGGGGTGTTTACAGTTACCGAGTATTTAAAACAATGTCTCAGCAGCACTTAAGCTGGAGGGGATTTTTTGTTACAGAAAGGTTTCATCCTCTTGATACAAACGTTGCTATTTGTCATCCTGTGTTGATTTGTGATTTCCTTTTACTGGTCTGTAGTGTGTGCCCTAAGCATGAATTAATTTATACCCTTACCAAAAGCAGTGGTGATCACCAGGCTGCAATTTGCTCTCTGGCTGTAAACAAGGAATAAAAATCTACCACAAAATATATTTCCCATGATAGAATAATGGGATTTATCCCATTTTTAGCTCTTACTCTAAATTAAAAGCAGATTAAAATTGGAGTGTTTCAGAATGGCTTTCCCCAGAATCTGCTGATGATAACCCAGGTGAGGAGACAGCTCTGCTGCTTGTCCTCCCTCAGAAACAAGACTTGTGCAGACAATAAAAACAAAGATTTCTGCCCAAAGACATCTCTGTGGCGGTGCTGATGAACGCTGTGGTCAGGGTTGCACTTCTCCCCTTGCAGGAAGCCGGAGACAACAACCAGTTCTGCTGGAGGAATTTGTTCTCCTGCATTAACTTGCTGAGGATCCTCAACAAGCTGACCAAGTGGAAACACTCGAGGACAATGGTAAGGGGGTGTCCCCCTCCTTGAGACCCTCCGGCGTTTCACCTGGAGCACGTCCCTGGCTCTACACAGCAAGTTCAGCCCAGCCTTGTGCTCAGGATTTCTTGTGGAAGTGCTGCAGCTTCTGCTTTTCATCCTCTTCCCTTTTTCCTTCCACAGACTGAGCCTTAAATGTAGAAATACTTTTTTTCCCACAAATAACATTATTTCTACCACCCTCAAGCCCCGTGCAGAGGGCATTGCTCGTGCTGGGAGCTCCCGTTCTCCCTCCTGGGGGTTTGTGGCGTACGAGGCCGCGGTGTCGGTGCCCGAAGCGGCACAGACGGCGTCGGCTCCGCTCTCATTCCCGATTTTCCGTCAGATGCTGGTGGTGTTTAAGTCAGCCCCGATCCTGAAGCGCGCTCTGAAGGTGAAGCAGGCCATGATGCAGCTCTACGTGCTCAAGCTGCTGAAAATCCAGACCAAGTACCTGGGGCGGCAGTGGAGGAAGAGCAACATGAAGACCATGTCTGCCATCTACCAGAAGGTGCGGCACCGCATGAACGACGACTGGGCCTACGGCAACGGTGAGTCCTGCCCGGCCTCGCCCCTCTGGCTTCCAGATTTGCTTCCAAATTTGCAAATTTCCAATTGCAAATTGGCTTCCAAATTTGGCTTCTAAAATTGTCGCTGGCGGGGATTTTTTGGGGAAGTTTTATTCGCATCATTCTGCACTGTCAGATGTCGTGAAAGCCAGGTTTGAAAATAATGGGATTTTTTTTTTTTTTCCATGTTTATGTGATATGGGATAATGTCGTGGTTGGTGCAGCTTTTCAGCGTTGTTTGTAGTTATGTTTGCCCAGATTTTGGGAAAAAAAATTGGTTAGGAGCTCATAATAAGCTCACCAGGTTTTAAATGTTTTAAATGTCGATCCTTGCTTCGGTGGTCAGTGGAGATTTTCAGTGAAAAGTGAAATTAAAAAAGGAAAATAGAAAGGTGAAATAATAAATAAGAAAAATAGAATAAGAATAAAAATAGAATAAGATATTTATAAATAGAATAAAAATAAGAATAGAATAAGAATAGAATAAGAATAGAATAAGAAGATATAAATAGAATAAAGATAAGAATAGAATAAGAGTAAGAAGATATTGATAAATAGAATAAAAATAAGAACAGATGAAAAATAGAAGAAAAATAAAAATGCATTGTTAAATAGAATAAAAATAAGAATAGAATAAGGATAGAATAAGAATAAGAATAGAATAAAAATAGAATAAAAATAAGACTAGAATAAGAGTAAGAAGATATTAATAAATAGAAGAAAAATAAGAATAGAAGAAAAATAGAAGAAAAATAAAAATATATTGATAAATGGAAAATAAGAAGAAAAATAGAAGAAAAATAGAAATACAATGATAAATAGAATAAAAATAAGAATAGAATAAGAATAGAAGAAAAATAGAAGAAAAATAAAAATATATTGATAAATAGAATAAAAATAAGAATAGAAGAAAAATAGAAGAAAAATAGAAAAGTGAAACTAGAAGTGAGGTCTTTGTGGAAAAAAAAGCCAAGGGCTGGATAATTATGAAGTCCTTAAAGCAGAAAAAATTAAATTTTTATGGGCTATCTTAAATTAAAATACACACATAGTGAGATTTGGTTAGCAACAATAATAATTAGGAGTGTCTCTGGTTAATCCACTTGAAACCTTCAGCCTTTCTTTTGCTCAGACCTTGTCAGAGCGATGCTTTCTGCGCTATTTGGGTGCTGTTCCTCCCCCACCGCAGATATCGACGCCAGGCCGTGGGATTTCCAGGCTGAGGAGTGCACGCTGAGGGCCAACATTGAAGCCTTCAACAGCCGCAGGTACGACAAGCCGCAGGACTCGGAGTTCGCC